AGCGCAACGAATTCAAATCAATATAAGACTTATTTGTAACCTACATCAACAATTATGTTATGATAACTACAACTACAACAGCAGACTGACCTTTGTGGAAATGCTTGGAGCAGACTAACCTGTGAGTGTTCTGGGACGTTATATTTGGTCTTCGAATGGCTGCAATCCAGGCCATCCGTTGGCTCTTTGTTACTTCGGAAACATGGCACAAACAATTTCTCTTCCACGACGTAATCCGATAAAAACCGTCGGCTTCCCGTGGCTCTCATGCGACCGGCTACTGCAGTTAATAATACAACAGCGTCACTGGGGTACCAGCCACCACTACTTACCATCACTGAGGGTGAGTTGGCCGTCCCCTCCGTTCAACATCATATGAGACGCTGCAGGCGGGTGTGGTGCACCACCAGGGCGGCTCTGTTAAAAAACGGCAGAACAAAATAAGAGACTGGCCAATCGTCGCCACGCTCCTGCGCCGGCCTATCGTGTCGGACAGAAGGTGTGGCTCTCTTCCAGGTATATTCCTTTACGAACTGAATCCAAGAAGTTGGCCCCGTGTTTCATTGGGCCCTTTTCGATCCAGGCTGTGCTAAACCCAGTGACTGTTCGTTTGGCCCTTCCTCACAACATACAAGTATAACACACAGTGAAATGTAGCCTGAAAGACTGCTTTGCTGCACTGTGGTATGAGGTGCTAACCTGTTAGTGTTGGGAAGGTTAATTTTAAAATGTATTCCACTACAGATTACAGAAGTAATGTATTCTGAATACTTTACAACTACATGAATGAACTACTGCTGTGTGATTTATTACTATTACTGAAGGATACTCTCCACACCAACACCAACTAGATGTTTAGATCTTAGTATAAATGAGTAACAGTAGGTGGACATTAGGTAAGGCTGCACTTTCTGCAGCGAAAACAGGTCGGCGGCTCCGAACCGTAGTAAAGGGACCTCTGGCTGATACGTCGGGTTTACTGTCTGGGTCAACTTTGCTAGCGAGAGACAGAGAGAGGCGTTGAAAGGCTCCAACTGAACTTATTGTTTCAGAGGAAAACACAAACGCAGCGTACAGTCGAGTCTTAACAGCTTACTTACAGCTGGGCTCGTCAGGCTGCAGTGGTTATTATTATATTTACATGCTTCCAGCTCCCGTTCCTGGTCGGTGACAGCTCGTACTTTTCCTTTTTCTCCTCCCTCGCTCACAGACACATCACGGGTACAGCAGTCCATTCCCCCTGCAGCACGGACTACACTGCCCATCAGGCTACATCATTCAGGGCTATGCCTGTAACACTCTGCCTGTTGCTTTAATATTAAATAATTTTTGTATAATAATTTTTAAAAAATATTTCTTCACTCACTCACCGTAAGTAGAGGTGACATGGGCCGCGAGATAGAGAGACAGGCATTAGAGCCTCTTATTGTGTATTTTGTTTGGGTTTCCACCAGCGTGGAATCACCAAAAATCGAGAGACCATAGCCTAACATATGAAACAGGAAAATACCGCCATGTAATCCATTTATTTCACCGATTAAACGGGTAACTGTAACGGATACAGTTACCCAAATTTTGTATTTTAAATACGTAATGCCGGCTCATGTATTACGTCAGCGGTCTCCAACCTTTTTTGCGCCACGGGCCGGTTTATGCCCAACAATATTTTCATGGACCGGCCTTTAAGGTGTCGCGGATAAATACAACAAAATAAAACTAGTACCGGTACCGAAAAAAAGAAAATTTATTCATAACACACGTGAAAAGACCCAGGAAAACTGAGTAAACGATAAAAACGATAACAAAATAACGCTGAAAACCGATAAAACCCTGAAAACTAAAAATTTCACACCTGAGCCTCAACTCTCGTGGCCCGGCACCAAATGACTCACGGACCGGTACCGGTCCGAGGCCCAGGGGTTGGGGACCGCTGTATTACGTTACTCCCCAACCCTGCCAGTTGATGAGATCTTGTGCCGTTCCTAAAACACCGGCCTCCAACTCCTAAAGAGACACGGGTGTCCCTAAATTTAGCAAATATTAGCTTCAGGCTAGCTTGCTACGACGAATAGGCTAATACCAGCATTTTACCACAACTTCACCAGATGTTGCTAAAAAGCTAAACTAATGTCCAGTCCAGGGGGACAGCAAGGAAAGATGACAAAAAATGATTACTTACCTAGAGTAAGTTTAGAGAGTCCACCTGAACTTGATGCAGCCATCGAAAGAGGCAAAAGATAAGGTTGCAATTAGTCGGAGGAGCTCATATACAAAGGTTGGTAACGGTGCCCTGGAGCGTTAAGTGACTGACAATTCTACAATCACCAGTTTACACCACTGTACTTAAATACTAATCATTCCTTTGTCTCCAAGGCGAGTCCCTCTGCTTCTCTCCAGGCTTTATGAACAATAACGGTCGGAGATGTCGATCAGTGGTATGTGCACAAAGTTTGAATCAGATATTAATACATCAAAATTGTTGCAGGGGACTACTTGTTATCACTGCTATAGAAAACTTTTATTGAAATCTCTAAAACAAAATCAGCACAAACAAAAATGTTTGACATCAATTTTGTTTGATTTAAGGAAGGTGCGATTGCAACTTCACTCACATGGATGACCGAGAAAATGGACTATTCAATGCACACACACC